ACAGATGTGTAGAATTTAGTAGCCTATTAAGATAATACAGCTGATATATTGACGTAAAAATTTTATATGTCTATGTTTTGGTGTGTGTGTATTATAATTATATCTCTTTCCCTAATATCTAAATGGATTTAAATGTACTAAATCTCTCATCCACCAATTTCACGTAGTTTTCTAACGGAGCTTTTTTCTTCGGTAGACAGATCAATCCATTACAGACGGAGCGTTGTTTTTTCAATGCATTTGGCATTTCGTGGCATTACGTTTGGGAAGAGCCGCCTTAACGATATTCGTTCAACCCCATAATGTCTTATGTGGGGTTTAATGTGAGTATCGTATAGCAAAAACCTTTAGAGAAAATAGACTTTTCAAAAACTCCATTTTGAAGAAAACGAAAAAAGTTAGGTTGACTCATGAAATAATTAAATTTATTTAAGATACTTATAATTTTGCTGTAATTGCTTATTATGAAAGAATAAAACTAATCCAAATATAGATGTTTATGGTTTCATAACTTATTACATTATATACCCTAAATAATTTTTGAATGAAAAGAAAGCGTTAGGATCCCATAATGTAATTAACGTCTGATAAAAATAATTACAGTGCTTGAAATATTTTAAAACAATTTAATTCAATTTTGATAAATAGTAAAAAAATCGTATAACTTACAAATCGCTTTACTAAGAAACTGCAGATTGTAACCAGTATTAGTAGTTTACTCTCTCATACTATAACGAGGGCATTCCAATTTTGATTTGGTTGATAACATCGTCATCGTTTGTACTGTATACATGAAGATCAATTTTTTCAAGAATAAATATTTGTAATCTCGCATAAAATGTTATGGTAACTGCTTCTTTTATGGAACTAACCGAGTATAAACAGTACAGCACAGATTTAAAAAAATATATCTTGGTCCTGTTATAGTTATTGTTATGGCCACATTTATAACCCTAGATGTCTACTATTTTCAATGCAGATAGATACGAAATTACTATGTCTAAGACTATACTTTGAAATCGAACACTATACTTTTCCTATCAGGCGCCGTAGTTTTTCCTAGACCTCAATACTGGTTCCCTGTCCGTCTTTAATTATATAGTGCATTTTCCCCTTATCATTTTGCACAGAACGACTCGTTTCTTCCAACTTGAGGAGTAAAAATCAATGTCTTATTGTGCGGGTTCTCTTCATTGTGTTAGTAAATGTATGCACGTATGTAGATGACGATTTTCTTTGTATGTTTGAGGAAAAGAATATATGTAGTTGTATTTTTCCTATGTAATATTAAACAAGGCTGAGCCATACTGAGACATCAGGAGATGTCTCCGAAATATATTTGATTCTAGGAAGTGTATGTGCAAATTGTACACGTATCATTGGTTGTATATGTATTTTATGGTAATACAACTACATATATGTAAATATAATATTATATATATATATATATATATATATATATATATATATACATGATTCTGATTTCAAGGTGAAAACACATCAATTGATTTCGGACCAATTTCATGTCAGATTTATAAAATATTAAAATATTTTCTGAATGAATGTTGCAACCCACTCATAATTTCAATCTTAATACATTTATATATATATATATATATATATATATATATATATATGTATGTATATATATATATTACGTAATTTTCATTCAAGTAGAGACGTTCCCGATTTAATTTCCTCGACAAGTATTAGTGCTCACAAAACCCAATGCATAATGAAAAGCCACTCTTTAGAAATCATTTTTCCTTTTTACAAAAATAGCAAAAGGAACGTATTCTAAGAAGATAATGACTTCGTTTTTCGTATTATAAACCAGTATGCATAATACATTTCGCTCTCATCGACTTTTATATAAATGCTTCTAAAGAATCTTGACTACCTGTAGTATCGTATACTTCGTTGTCGCAGGTTTCTCTAATTGGGCCATTTTCTTAGGTCATTGTCGATATATATGATGTAATATATTTTAATGAAATATGCAATATATAGACCAATGAATTATGTTAAAAATGAATTTATTTTAAACCAGATATAACACCATATATTAGGTCTTGGTATCAATCTTCTAATTAAACTTAATTTTTGTCACTTTTTATTTGCTGACTGTTGGATGGCGGCCCTTTCTAAAAAAACATTAGTTCTCAAGTATCAGTCTGGTTTTTATTCCAAATCAAAATTATTGAAAAAAACCAAGTTGATCACAAATGGTATTACATCGAGTTAAATGTGTTTCCAACGATTGGCAATAAAGGCAAGCATCCATCGATGACGAAAAACTGATGCATCAAGAATCTTAAAGAAATCCCATATCGTTCAGAACAAAAGCAAAAAGCAGGAGCATGTGTGAGACGGGACAGTTTTTTCGTGGCGTGTGAGTTTTTCATAACATCAATTTCGAAGAGAATAATTTTCGATATATATGCAGGATGTGACTTTGATTTTGAAATACACACACGATCGACGAAACCCACACAAGCATATGATTATGTCTGTATGCGATAAAAGCAACGTGGTTTTGACACTTTAAAACGATTTTGCTTTATTTTTCGAGACCTAGAGTCTGGGCGAGATAGAGAGATAATTTTAATATGGTATATTCCATTAACTTGGAATAAAAGACCCATTACTGTAGTTTATATAAACATAGTGGTATATATACATATACATATATATGTGTGTGTATATGTATGAGTCAATCTTCAGGGAAATCAAATAAAAATTGTAGAGATTTACAAAATTTTTATTAGCTCTATAGGTTTCGACATACTATCAACTATCCTATGTCATCTTCAGTGAATTGTAAACTGGAATTTCCTAATTTACTGATGAGTGATAATGATCATTCACACAATAGTACCAGTAGACCATTTCTTGTCAATTTAAATCAACAAATTTTGAGTTTCAGTTTGGTAATGTTAGGTAAAATACTTTCCAAAATTTAGCTAAGAATTTTTTACTTGAATTGATAAAAAATAGTCTAGTAAAGGTATTGTGAATTATCATTGTTAATTTGTCAATTAGGATCTTTTTTTTTTAAATTATATTTTCAATAGCAATTAGAATACATGACAATTCTATGATCTATTTGGCTAATGTCATTCATTCGCACACATACACACATATAAGTTTATCTGATAAATATTACATTTATATTTAGAGAAATATTTAAACTTTATATAAGCAGAATAGTAGGATCATTTTAATTTATATTCCACTGAAGATGACAGGATAATATGCCAAACCTGTGTATTTTAATTCTTCAGTTTTATATATGTGTATATATATATATATATATATATATATATATATATATATAATAAAAGTGTGTGCTTAGGTAGTAAAGGGTGCTCTCCGTACCAATACATACAGTAGCAAAGCTATTTCCGATATGACTGGGTAAGTGGAAAAATATGTTGGCACGTATTCCTATTGGATTCCAATCTGTATTGAACTTCTAAAATGTTCAGATTTTACAAGTTTATATATGGCAAAAGGATTTGTACGATAATATATATCCATGTAATTTATGCCTAAATAAAAGCTCGAATTTGTAAGCTTCTACCGCGTGGCACCGTACTCGAATTAAATTAAATTTCGATTTGTTCGTTCAAATTATTTCTATTGTATCAGAGGCTCAACAAGTTTTAGTTTAAAAGCTTTCAGTGGTTTTAATATGTTTTATTGCGCGTAACTAACGCGGTTTTGCACAAACATG